AACAAAAGTGTGTGAGAAACAAAAGTAAGATTGTCCTGACTTGACTCTTTGGTATAAGAGGGATGGAAGGAAAACACTGTCAGACTTGTAACTGTACAAACACTGTAATAAAATTCTGTTATTACAACCTATATCAATGAAGCAGAGTTCTAGTATTTCTTGTGGTGTCTATTTCCTGCCTGGCCTGCCTTGAAGGGCTGACAGAAAGGGCCTCTTCTGCTGATTTTAGTAACTTGGTAGATTCATAGTGGAACAGCAGTGCGTCATATAGTTTGATTTGATTTTTTTCCCTTAAATTAATTATGTTTTAAAAGATCACTTTATTCTTTATTTTAACGAGTAAACTTTGCATGTGTAATAATTGGGTAAGCAATAATAGAAAATTACGAAACAAAACTGGGCATTTCCAGTCTGTGATCATTCTCTTGCAAAAGCCATTGTTGGTATGTTTTTATTCCGTGAAATACTCCACCCCCAAATACTGCTATTTTAGCTCCTTCAGAGCCAAATTATAGGACTGCAGTGGCTGAACCATTCATGTCCCACTGATGAAGTTCTAAAGATACTCTAAATCCTCCTGATCTGAGTCCACCTAACAGGTTAATTTGAAGTCCACTGCTACATGATGGCTAACCATATTTATACATGCAGTAAATCTATCCGTGGCTAATTAGAATTAATACTTGAGTTTTAAAATTATTTAAACCAAAACTCCAGAGCTGGTGTTTCCAATAAAAAATGAAATGAAGGAGAGCCAGTTTGGTCTAGTGGTTAAGGCACCAGACTAGACACCAGGAGACTGTGAGTTCTAGCCCTGCCTTAGGCATGAAAGCCAGCTGGGCGACCTTGGACCAGTCACCCTTTCTCAGCCTAACCTACTTCACAGGGTTGATGATGTGGGGAAAGTAGGAGGAGGAAGGAGTATTAGCTGTGCTCGCCACCTTGAGTTATTTATAAAATAATAAAGGTGAGATTTTAAAAAATCTGAAAAAAAAACTTTAATAGTAAATTGGATATTATTTTTCTATACCACTAACATGGGAAAGAGAAATTGGTGTTTTTGTTGTTTTCAGTATTTTGACTGCATTCATAATCAATTATAGGAGTTGGTTGAAGCTCTACCTTGTGATCAGTGAGAACCAAAAGTTTTGTTTTTTTTCCTGAAATGAAACATTATTGTTTATTTTTGCAGGTTTGTTGTACAAATGTTACCTCTGTTGCCAAAGATGCAGAGAATGCTATTTTTGCTGAGTTAGTGAATTCCATGCTATTCAGGTTTTCTCATTCTGGGTTTTTTTTGGGGGGGGGTAGTATGTTAGTACAAGTGGCAGATTAGGAGATGTAAATGTTGGTTCTGGTGCTGTTGCTCATAGCTTTTGGAAAAGTTTGAAACCAGTGGGTGAAATATGAAAGTAACTTAATAACTTGTCTTCCCTCCTTGACAATTGTTCTTTAGTTGATTGTGCAGTTTAAGCGATATTTCTCTTAACTGGTCCCCAGTTAATCATTTACATAAGTAAGTGATTTGCCTACTTTCTTGGATTTGCTAAATATGATATATACATGTTCTAAGAAAATATTGTCATTTTTCTAAATCTCTATAAATGTATACAAGCTATATGTGCAGATATACATACAGGCATGTGTTTGCTTCCATTCTTTGATATGAGTAACAGATCTTCTTGTGGACAATATGTAATCCCTCTGACTCCCTTATTCCTAGATAAAAAGAAAAGCCTCTGTTTGCCTGGGACTTTAAAACAGAACCATGGACTGTGAACCGCTTTATTCCAGTTACTTTAGCTCTCATCAGAGGGAAGTCAGTGAGACTAAATACATTGAACTGGATGAATTATTGTGGCCTACATTCAGTAGCTCAGTAATCCCAGGACGATTGCTATGGGCCTGAACTTTCCAGTTACTAATTCAGTTAAAGGAATTAGAAACAGATACTCAGTTTCTAAAGTATAATCGTAAGTTTTATCCTGTAGCTGAAACTATTTTCAAGAGAAAAGGATCCTTGGTACTAAAATAAGAACTGTAGTATAGTAGATTAGCCTCTGATTAGGACAAAGCAATCCACTTACTTTGGATCGTGAAATTGGTGAGTTTTTTGAGTAAATGGCATTTTCTATAGTCTCTGCTAGTTAGAAAAGGTGCTACCAGACTTCGTGCCATCATAGACTAACACAGCTCTATTCCTATAATACATTGTCTCTGTGTTTTGCTTTTTGTCGTGTTTTGGAGAATTAATTGCAGATAGTTATAGAAAATAACCAAGAAGGATGTAACAGGTATCTTTTATTTTCAGATGCATTTTTCTGATACAAAATCAAGTTTATCTAATGTCTTTCTCATACATACGCAAGAATTGTGCACTACCATACTACTGTAATGGGATGTGAGAACAAAAGAGCATTAGGGATAAACATTTATTAAATGCTGATTGAGTCCTCTCTTGTTAGCCCTTCAAGGTTGGTAAGGTCAAGATACAGAAGCAGGGTTGTTGTAGGGTAATACAGAAGACTCCTGAAAGCTGTCCAGAATCTCTCTCTACTGTATCATATACCAAACAAAATTAAGGCGGGGTTATTTTGATATATGTATATGTGTGTGTGTGTGTGTGTGTGTGTGTGTGTGTATATGTATGTATGTATGTATGTATATATAT